TTTCACTACAAAATGGTCCTTCATTTATATCCCCCTTTTTGTTTAGTTTTGTCAGAGATGGGTATTCCGTTGTCATTTAAATATTGTAGGTGCATGAATTCAGCAAAATAATCCAATATGGTCCAGCAGTCCATAATAGTAGTGGGCTATCCGCAGATCTGGCAGTGTCAGAAGTTGTTGTGTTGAGCCTTTTGCTCTTTAATTTCAATATACTTTGTGTTTCTCATAAGAGAAACCATATGATCAATATCTATGCTTGTGTGTCTGGTGTATGTCATGTAACAGCACAGTCTCATGGTTTCATTTTCCCCCAAATGACTCCAGTCCATCCTCTGCACCAGAGTAGGTTGCCCAGGTAGGACTTGAATTTGTGATCCTCCTGCCTCAGTTCTCCCTCAGAATTGGCTGGTTTATAGTTACCTTCAATATATAGTTAATTACAAACAAATTATTGCTATTTTTGGCATTTACTGTTGTAAAGCAAAAAAAAATTACAACAGTTCTGTTTTTACGTATAAGCAATTTTGTAAACAATTAGTGAAGTATTAGTGAAGAATTACTATTTTTGAAAGTTCACTATTTGTAAGATGAGTGTCTCATTGTGGTTGAGAGAGTGTGTGTGTGTGTGTGTGTGTGTGTGTGTGTGTGTGTGTTTGGCACAGGGTCTCACTACGCAAATCAGACTCACAGTGATCCTCCTGTTTTCAGCCTCCCAGCACTGGGATTGCAGGCTGCACTACCATGCCTAATCTTGGTGGCCAGCTTAGTGTGCCCAGGGGCAGGGCCAGTGTGGCATGTGGTGCCAGGATCGAACTGCGGTCCCTATGCTTGCCTGAGCAGGCACTTAGTCCCTTGAGCTATGTTGCTGGCCCAACTTTTTATATATTGTTAAGCAGCCTGTGACATCTGCAGTGTTAGGGACAGAGATGATGTTTATAGTTTTTACTAAGTGTCTGGCACAACATAAACACTGAATGTATGCTGGTTGAATGAGTATGAAGAAAAACTAATATCATTAATGTCATCTTATTTTGGTGAACCTACCTTAGTATTTCTAATAATGTTCTAATTGTTTTGTCTAATTACTGTCAGAAGTTAAGGCGCATTTTGATAATCCGTTGCCACAACCCTTGGCAAGAAAGACAAAAACGTTGCCTGAAACTTCCTCCTTCTCACAAAAAGGCCTGATGACTCCTGGCTTAGAACATACACGCATTGAAGGACCAATAGCAGTAAGTAAAACATCACAGTAAGAACTATGGACAAATGACAAAGTACTCCTTTTGTTACAAGATTGAACTCAGACTTGTAAATTAAATGTAATCAAGTCAATAGATATTTTCAACACTTACTTGAATTTAGATAGTTCCTTTTCTTAATTGACCTAGAATTTGTCAGCACTTGGAACGGAAGAGCTGCGACAACGAGAACAGTATCTCAAGCAGAAGAGAGATAAGTTGATGTCCATGAGAAAGGATGTAAGGACTAAGCAGATCCAAACTCCAGAGGAAAAAGGAAAATCCCCTGGAGAGGTGGAGGTATGGCTGGCCTTAGCATGTCAAAATGTGCAAATATAGAGGGAGACTTCTCAAAACTGGAATAGTACAAGAAAACCCTGCTGTGACAGCTGCTATGTCTTTCTTGGGAGAGTTATGATGAGATAGAAAGTGTTTCCCTTGTAGTTTTGTTTTTTACTTGCCTTGCTGAGCTCATAAGGGAGAATGATGGAGCATACCTGAGTCATGTGAAATGTTTGGAGTGTTCCATAAATACCCCAACTACTGGTACCACATGCAAGAGGCTTTCCCTAGAGATATTACAGAACGAACCCAGTCTGCATCTAGCTTTTTTTCCATCCTTCCATGAATATGCCCTTAATCATTGACCTTGTTCTTTTGAGGCAATATATTGTAAATATTAGACAAAGGAATCCATCTTACACTATAAAGAGTGTTTTTCTTTTCTCTTTTTGAAGGAAATGACAGAGAAGCCTGAAATGACAGCAGAGGAGAAGCAGACATTACTAAAGAGGCGAATGCTTGCAGAGAAACTTAAAGAAGAAGTTATTAATAAGTAATTTAAAACAACTTAGCAAACAGAAGTCCAGATTTTCTTAAAAATAAATAATCCTTAAACCAATATTAGTATCAAGTAAATACTCGCTTTTGTAAATGCAAATATTAAGCTCATTGTTACTGTGTTGAGCTGAAGGGTAGTGGGAAAGGCAGCTCCTTATCAATTTAGTGTAAATTTCTGGTAATGTTTTCTCCTGGGGAAAGGACAGAATCACTAACTTGGATACCTATCCACAATATGTTACATATTAAAGACATAGTGGTTAACCTTCATGGGGCTTGTGAAGTACTACAAAGGGAAAAATATTAAAAAGGGACAGTGTCAAGTACTGTGAGATGGGCTGGCTAGGCTTCCTTGAGCAAATTATGATTAAGCTGATTAGAAGAGCATGGAAAGAACAGCTTGAGTCTTGCAGCAGGAAATTATGCATATAGCTGAGGAATTGTGAGTATATATAGAATGGATAGAAAGGGTTAGCATGTAAATTCAAGACTGATGAGGTACTAATCATGCAGGGCCTTATAAGCAATGTGAAAAATTTTTAAATTTTATATCGGGGCAGTCAGAGATTACATGATCACAGTTATTTTCACTTTAAAAGATGGGTGGCTACTGCATGGACAGCAGGTGGAGTAGAATAGTTGTTGCTGTGCCAGGCATGAGGCAACCCAAAGAACAGGTATCCTGGACATTTACCATTACTTTATTTTTGTATTTTAGGGAAGGGTCTACAGGGTGTTCAGGGTCTCACTACTAGAACAGACTTGTAGTGATCTACCTGTTTATAGCCTCCCAAGAGCTGGGATTTCAGGTACGTGCTACCACGCCCAGTCTCAATTGCCACCCCAGGGCGCCCTGGGGGCGAGGCTGGCATGGCAAGCCTGGGGATCAAACCCCTGGGCCCTGTGCCTGCTTGCAGGCACTTTAATCTTCTGAGCTTTTTGCCAGCACTTTACTACTACTTTTGAGGCAAGCCAATTTGAACTCAGAAATAGGTGGGTTATTAATCACCTCAATTACCTGCTAGAGATACTGTATGAAAACAGGAACAACTGCCTGTTGAGAGAAGTACTACCACTGCGAGATGTTTTTCATGAAACCTTGTATCTGTACTGTTTATAAGGAAAACCAAATTTCTACCACTATGCTGTCCTACATTTACCTTTTCTACTTACAGTACAACCTTACCTTAAACTCAGAATTCCTTTTTATCTCCTATAACTATAAAAGGATATAAAAACTAATTGAACAAAATGCTTATTCTAGCTACAGTCCTGGTGTTCAGTGGTGGCAAACCTAGTGTTCTACATGTTACATTTTTATCACTAAATGGACAAGAAAAACTAGTTTTTAAAACAGGAATGATTCATGTAACTTCTTATTTAAAACAATTATATTTGATTATGTTCACAAATACTTTGAAGGGAGGGTGGGTGAGAGAGCTCAGCAGACTAAGTGCCTGCTTAGGCAAGCACAAGGACTGGGTTTTGCACCCAGCACCATGTCAGGCTGGCCCCGCAGCTGGGCGTGCTGAGCTGGCTACTGAGTCCAGGCGTGCACTGCCATGCCTGTAATCGCAGCCCTGGGGGGCTGAAACAGGAGGATCATGATGAGTCCGACTTGCGTAGAGACTCTGTACCACATACATTAAAAGACAAAATAAATGTTAAAGGGACCCAAGAAATACAAATGTGGGTTTTGGCTTGCTTTATTGAGCGATGATAAAGATACAGCGTAATTGTAGTCATTTAAGACAGCAGCTAATGTGCAGCTAATTTTTTTTTTTTTTTTTTTTTTTTTGTGGAACTGGGGATTGAACTCAGGTCCTTGGGCTTGCCAGGGAAGCACTTATTCCACTGAGCCATCTCCCTGGCCCTTAATGTGCAGTCTTCAAAGATGTGCTTCTAAGGTTTTTTATTTTCATGTCAGGCCCAGGTGCATGAAAACTGTCATCCTGGATTTCAAGAAAATATTCACATTATAAGAGTTCTTAGGATGACAATGCTGATTTAAGCTTAAAACTCAAAAGACCGTTATTCAGAATATTAAAGTCTTCATAAAATCTAAATGTGATACTTCTTGTGATTTAAAATTAAGTAAAAAATATACAGGGAAATGTTTTAGGCTAGATTGCTTGGATTAAGCAGGAATTTGGTAAGAGTTTTTAAAAAGGTGAGGCTCAATAAAATTTGCTTTGAAAGAAAGTGTGCTTGTATGGTAACTGATGTTGGCTGAAAAGGCCGACTTACATGTTATACAAGAGAAGGCTTTGATCATATGCAGAGTAGCTCATGCTGGAATGTGTCAGTGCTGAGATTTTGTCTGCCCAGGCTGTCCCCAAGTCATCACTGATACTGAAAGGACAGTGGACCCTGTGTTAAGAGTTTCATTCAGTTGGTGTACGACTTAATATTTGTATAAATATGGATATGTTTTATTGACTTAAAAGAATATAAAATGGACATATCTCAAGAGTTAACTTATACTTACAATAAAACACAAACATCAGCCATGGAATTATAGGGTCACATTTTAATTCCTGAATTTTACAGTTCAGCATTAATATCACCACATGTATACAAATGGTGTAAAACAAGTACAGTGGTATTTTTAATACAAAATAAACATCTGTTTTATGGAAAAACTATACTTCGTATCTACACAGACAGCCCATCTCTTTTCCAAACAATAGCCCAAATTAAAATTAACTACAAAATCTCCAAAACGGGGTACTTCTTCAGCTTAAGCTATTCCAGGAAAAATGGACCCATAACACATTACAAATATGATCTAAAGACTGTAGCTGGAATTATTTTTAGATTGTTTTTTTCCCAATGTATTAAATTGTAGTTTGGGGACATTTTTCTCATCTCAGCATGATCTCTGATCACAGATGAGCAAACTAACATTAAAATATTTACAGTTAACTGGCTGTTCTAAAAAATAAACAACTGTTTGCCTTAATTTGTTATTTTAAGTTCATTTACGTACATGGAATGTGCTCTTTTAAAAAGCAGCTTTCATGTTATAACCTTTGTGGAAAAGCTTAATATGCTCCAAGTGGCTCTGACACTTAAGTACTTCCTGGATCAAAATGGCTTTAGATATTAAATATCACTTGTATTCAGCACTACTTATCTTTATAAGATAGACTTTAACTCCTGCCTGCGTCTCTAAAGGGATACACAACTTTTATTAATAAAGCAGCAACTTTACTAATAAGTGACTTCCAATGATCTTCCATAAACGATTATACTTGTAGGTGAAAAAACTGTTCTATCCATTTCTGAGTTTCTCAGGAAACTTAGATCATTCTGGAACACTAACACACTGTTTATTGGTCACTGTTATCTCAAAGTGCTGATTTTAAAATTATATTAACAAAAATCCATTTTGAAAATCCAGCTTGTCCGTGTCAAAATATATTGAAAATTCCTGATGTAGAAAACTTAGCATGTGCTGTAATACAGGGCGGTGTACTTCCAACAACCCAGAGGCTAAATTTGTGAAATCCTCAAAGAAATGGTCCCAACAGTGTAACTTCACTTTAATAATCAACTTGTTTTCCATAAAAAATTATTTTTAAAAAGAGGCAACTGTTTAAAACAACAACATGGCCAGCACCATTATATAAGTAATATTGTTGGATTTGAAACAAGTTTTACAAACTTACACCCACTCTGGAGCAACCGTGTATTACTGTATTACCTCTAGCAAACTGTTCCAAAGCCTGAGACTTTCTGACAAACTATCTCTGGGCTCCAGCAACTTTTTTTTTTTCCTGATAGCTTGAAAGGCAAACCCCTCAATTATTAGCTATTAAGTTCCTCAGAAGACTTTTTCTTTTTGCTTTTTTAAACAGAAATAAATCTCCTAGCTGGTATACTGAGGATCTTTTGTTACTCCTTGTATATGTATAGTGAGAAGGCTTTCTGATTCAGATTTTCATCTCATTAAACAGTTGCAGCAATTTAGTAAAACCACATGCTGGGCCCCCCAGTAAACATTCTATGAGCCCAGGCGAGATCTTTTCCTGGGGGATGTTTCTTCTTCTTCATCTTCCTCTTCATCATCTGGATAATCCACTAAGCCAACCAAACTTCCCTATTGAAGAATTAGAAACATGTTTTAAACATATGTTACATTTAATAAAGCTTATTATTACTGCTACTAACAAATATTAGAGCTGGTGATAGCTCAGCAGCAGAAGCGCCTGCCGGGCAAGCACCAGGTCTTGAGTTCAATCCCTGGTACTGAAAAAAGAAATATTAGAATCCATTTTTATAAACTGTGAAATTAACACATTGAATTTAAGATAGAAACTACTTAAATTATGAACAGTAAGTACTAAGTGGTGGCACTCTCAGTAACCCCAACTTTTAAATTGTTAATTGAATTTTTAGTGAAATCTCAGAACTCAATTTAGTTTAGGAAAACTTCACTGTAGGAAAATCAGTATTTTCCCAAATAGTAACACAACTGTGACCTTTAGGAGCTGGAAAGGACCTTGCAGATCTAGTTCATTTCTCTAATACTAGTAATCTGCACAGTCTCTGTTTATGCCTGCCTTTCATCATTAGGCACACAGTATTGTTTTCATTATGCTTTTGAAGAACAGTTTAAAAGGCTAAAAATGATAGACACATGATTTAGTTCCTGAAAAAACCAATAAATAACAGGGATGTGGCAACTAGATTTTGATCTTTATGAGTAACAGCCCTTTGAAAATCTAGGGCATGCTCCAGAAAATTACAGATGTCCACAGGACATTAATTTTGGGTCAATCTTAAGAAACTTAACACATAACCTATACGTGAAGAGGTCTACTATAAACACCGTACTTAGGGCATACTCTTAGATCTCCAGGGAATACACAAACCCAGTGAGGTAGTGTATCCTCCATACAAAAGTAGGTTCATACATAGAGGATCTAGGGATCTGGTGTAAAACACTAGGATATAAGTGTAATGCTGTCATACTAATAAGAACAAGTCTCTGAGCATCTACCACATTTTCATCATAAAGTCTGTGAACGAAACAAAACTTACAAATGTGTGTGAAATCTACTTCTTGCCCAGTTAATCACATGTCTTAAGTCTAGAAAAGAGACGGCATAGCTAAATTTGTAAGACAAATGACTGTAAGCAGAGTGCTGGCACACACCTGTAATCCTGGCAATGGGAAGGCTGAAGCAAGAACATCACTGAGAATTTAAGCCTGAACTGCAGTGTGACTTTGTCTCAAAAAAAACCAAAAAAAAAAAAAAAAAAAAAAAAAAAAAAAAAAAAAAAAAAACCCAAGAAAACACCATATTGATTATAATTGGTGTGACTTCAAGTTACAATGCTACTATTTATCTGAACGATCTTAGGTGAGCCATTCTACATTTCTAAAACTGGTATAATAGTGTTTAGATACTACTGAACTATTTTAAAAATTAAATTGAAAACAAAAGGTGTAAAGCATTTTGGCACTGTACTAAGTATGCAGTACAGTTAAGTGCTACAAGCTGCCATTTGTTATTTTTTATTTGGTTAGTAAGCCACACATTAGGAGAGAAGAGAAATAAGTGTAGCATTAAAAGCCCATCAATCTATAGTCACAAAAGATGACAGATTTCCAATAAAGCTTTAATCATGCTTACCCTTATACATAACAATATACAGACAAGTCTGTCCCAAATGGTTGATATGTTAAAAAATACATCTACACAATTTAAACATTTTTTAAGGGCCGGTGAGATAACTCAGTGGACTAAGCGC